TTTTTTTTTTTTTTTTTTTTTTTGCTGGGACCTTCCCTGGTCCTTGCACGGGCTGGCCACCCGGGACCCGGGCGGCCCGGCTGGTAGCCTAGGTTAAGTCAGGCTTTGATCGGTTTAAGCCCGGTTTACACGGACGGTAAGGCCAGGGAAGAACGTTGGGCCTTGGCCGGAAGTGAACGCCGAAGGCCGCTATGAAAAAAAAGAACATTTGTAGGCTAGCAAGCCTTGGAAGGTAGCTTTGTCGACTTAGGGTCGTGTGAGCTGGTGGTGTTAAGTTTTCAATTTATTCATCTCGAAAGAGACGTACGAACCAACGAAAACTTGTCGAAACCACACAAAAAAAAAGCAAACAGGTCTGTTACGAATTTGTGCTCCATTATTTGACAATCCGGGTGGTCTTATCAAGCGCCCTCTTTTAGGGGCCCTCATCATTTTACTTATTGCGAACTCGGAAATACTGTTGATATGAATATTATGAAGTATTGCCTTTTTGCACCACCACTCCCGCCGACAGCCGAAAACAGGCTTTCTGGTGAGTCCAGAGGAGGCCGAGAACCGGTAGTGTTTATTCATACAACGAGTGCAGCTGCCACCAGCGTCAGCATAAACAACTGTCAAAGAACCATGCCAGATTTGCATTCAAGAGAGAACAGAAAGGAAGCAGAAAGGCAGAGAAGAGGAGGTAATAAGAAAAGAGAGAGAAAGAGCGAGAGAGAAAAAAGGGGCATGGAAATGAGAAGAAGATTGGGAAGATGACACCAGGATAAAAAAGTGTCTCCCGAACGCGACTCGAAAAATAATCAATGATGACCAGACGGCATGGACCCGACTAGTTTCGGCCGGCCGCCACCGGCACTCCTCAGGGGTCTTGTCGGTCGTGAGGTGTCTAACTAGCTAGACGTCACCAATATATATCCTGTGTCCTATTAGAGCAGTAGAACGATGGACCTTGAAAAAGACCGTCTACTCAGGTACTAACCAACAATTTCGAACCTCCGACCATTGCTGAAAAATATCATACTACTGACCCGGGGACTGTCACCCTGCAGTCAGCAAGGAAACGACCGGAAGCATAACATCAGGACGGGACCCGTACCGCCAATGAAAACAAATACACTCCGGGACTGGAACCTGCGAGTGCTGGTACCGACAAGGACCTTCTGCTACAGCTGAAAACATTGTATTGTGCATGAATGAAATCGGTACCATATGTGGGACTGGGACCCACAAAAATATGGAGACAAGTTCACCCCGGGACTGTCACCCGCAGGTAAAATGCGAAAGAGGGTCCCACAACGTGAGATCAACCATGTGGTCCCATATCTATTACCACTGCCCTCACAGCCTCACAGTATCAACCAAATCATAACCCGTTCACACAACTCAAATGCTGCAACCACAACTTCATACATTCAACCCACCAGGCGTCCCCAGTTGGTCAAAATAGGGAGCCAGTGATCCTAACAATGGCCAAATTTCCTGGAAAAGTTTCTCAGCGCACTAACAAAAAAACTCTGGGTATCCACGTAACCTCAACTCATGCTTCAACATGAACAGAAAAGGTAACTCAAGGCCAGCGATGGAAGTGTAGGTTCTGGCACGATGCAAGGAGGACCCAACAACTGCAAGCTTCTGCTGCTTACTGGAGAATGAGCGGTAATCTTGAATGCATTGAAAAGTCAAAGGTCCATTGACCTCACACGTCTGATTCTTAAGTTTAGCTGTACACGCCACTTTACATGGATTGTGCAAGATCATCAATGTGCACTCAATAAAATCCCATTCTTGGGACATATTGGTTTGTTCCAAAACCAGTGCCTTGTGGTAACATAGTCTAAAGGTCTTCATGATCTGCTCTGCTGCTCGCCGAGACTCACGGTCAGACGAACGATATTTGACAAAGAAAGAGACATCGTCGACAATTCTACAGCCATAGACCAACCTCCTGTCATCGTCAAAGGCACAAAGCAGGCAAGCAAGGGCTGGACTCGTGGTTTTGCCCATGGGAATTCCCTCTACTTGACGAAACAACCCTCCGGAGACCAAGACAAAGGTATCTTCCAGCTCAAACCTCACAAATGCGATAATCTTAGAGAAGGATAGTCGTATCCACCCGTGTTCCCCCTTGCCACGTGTCAATCTTACCACTTTACCATGCGTTCGTACCAAAACTGACGAGAAACCTTCACTCTTCCAGTCATTCACAATCCAACTGACAGTGCGAAGGATAGATGGGTCGGGCAAATTGGAGAACATCTCCTTGACATCAAATGACCCACCCACCACTGACTCTCCTTCCTTCAGGTTGTCGTTGACATCTGCAGTCCTCTTCATCACATCCGCTGTACATCGCAAGTTAAAGTGCATCTTCTCGGGGAGTCTCCATAACAAATAATTGATGGCTCGAGAGACTCGAGAGACTCGTTTCCCACCAACAACAGACCCATCAGAGTGTGACGGGCAGATAGGGCGCCACCGGCCAACGTCCTTATGCTTTGGCAAGCAATAGGCGTTGCCAATTCTCCCTTTATTGTTCCACCTCCCAACCTCAGACAGCTTCGACTCATCAAATTGTGCCTTACATAGCGACAAAACTCCTGCCCCCGAATCTGTAACCGTAAGAAAAGAGTGGTTATCAAGAAATAATTGCTTCATACCTTTGCCATAGACGGTTGGACAACAAATGTACGTATCTAACGGGACACAAACCAGACCGTTCAATCTCATCAGCTGCTGACTGACCACATCCTCGAAAAACATCGGACCTACGCCGTCAGAGGTCTCCTTAGGTAATTTGTTCAAGACACAGGTGTCGAAAAGAGCATCATCAGGGAGGCTACAGCGTAAGGGAGGAAAGCAGGCAATTGAACGAAAAGATCGAAGAATTTGTTGTTTCAAATGGGAGGCGGGTTCTGCCTCCGCAGGCCGCAATATATTCTTGGAATTTCGCATACATTCTGGAAGGAAGTCAACAGTAGGAGTGCGGAAAGAGACATGTCCATTGACTCGTGGGAACGGAACCTCTGCATCCTGACAATGACAGCGAAAATCACCACTTCTGGCTACGGACCGAAAATTGTGAACAAGGTCGCCCACAGAATGGTTCCTACACCACACCACCCTCATCCGGCGGATCACCATATCCATCCATGTCGGATCAATCTCCAGTCTACGAACCAATTGGGTACAAGTGTTTCGAATGGTCGTTTTGCACAGTCAATCATCATAGACAACACGGATAACTAACCTCTGTCGTACATACACCCCAAACACCTGATTAATGACCTTCGACAGAATAGTCCGTAACCTACCTCTCGTCTTGGAAGCACCGAACCGCCGAAAATGCATAAGTCAACTTGTGAAATTCCCACGTAACGAGTTCTCGACGCGAAATAGGACAACTAAGAAAGCGAATCAAGTTCGGTTTAAAGGCCAAAGATTTGCTACAGAAAGGAATGATAGTCTTGAACAGTAGTATCGCTCCGCTAACCAGCCAACCTTTGCAACCCCGAAATTGATCTTTATCGTCATTGCAGGAAATCACCGAAGACCCATAGCAGCGTTTCAAGACCTTCCATCTGTCAAGCAAGAGCGGACCACCACTGCAAACAACAACCCCACGATGAATCGAATGGTCCCTACAATAGTTAAGAATTCGCAGCAGGCTAGAAGAAGACGTACCATAGGAAGAATCGAACTGAAGGACCGATGCATTAGAAAGTCGTGTCAAGCCAAATTCGTTCTTCCGTTTCTTGCGAAGTCGTTCTCTCAGACCCGGTCGTCTTTCTTGCACTTCTTAGGTTTGTCTTTGGAATTCAACACAGGTGAGAACAGCCGAATGTAAAATCTTTCAATATCGTCAAGGTCGTCCTCAAAACACCTGCAAATCGGAATAGCGACATATTTCCCGGCACCACAGCGACGTGACCAACAGTACAACCGTTCGTTTCTTTTCCCTTTTTTAATTAACAAATCACTACACGCCCTGTACACGTGCTCGGTCCATCGTGTACCCAAATCCCTTTACATACTTCCCACATATAGATGTCGGCACCACGGAGAGACTAACACATACACTAGAGGACCTCTCACAGTCTCTCCCTCATTCCACCACTTCGAGATACAGGAAGAAAGTTTGGAAGCCCAGGGAATCAATCCACAAAGAATCAGAGTAATTACCACAACTCGGAAGAGAGCGTCTACATCTCGATTTCTCAAGTTGCTACTAGGAGAAGAGCGAAATTGAGCACACACATCAACTAACTTCCACGACTGTGTCGCGTTCGGGAGGGACCCTAAGAGTCGGCTGAGTCCCTCCCGTCATCCTTACCTTCGTATTCATTGGCATCTTCCGAGATCTCATGGACCGCCGTCTTCTTTCCGAAAGCCGTTTCAACACGTTTTCCATTAATCTCAGCGATCGTCTTGGGAATGGCGTTGTACTTGATTCCTTCATACAAATTTCGATCAACTCGTCCTTCTTCTTATTGGCCAGCTCCTTCTTGGCTTCACGAATGAAAGTGTCTCTTCCGGTGTCCCAACCAGCATCGTCAACGTCATCAATTTTCTTCTTTCCTCGTCCAGTCTTAACCTTAGAACCTCTTGCTGCGTCCAACCGTTGGTGAAATACTGACTGTAGTGCAGATAATTCCGCCGTTCGTTTGGCCAACTCCTTCAATTTTACATTCTCTTGCTCAACCTCTCGTCGTCTATTCAGCTCCTGGGCTCGTAGCGCTTTAAGCGTGTTGACCTCCAGTGTATGCAACTGAGCGAGTTGTGTGATGTCGGCATTCCTCTCCGTAGGCTTCCAAGGTGCGGTGGAGGGCATCTTCAATGCAGATGCAGGCGAGGTCGCCAACCGGCAGCGTTTGTTGCATGTTTTTAGAGCCTCATTCTTCCATTCCTCAGCTTCGAGTAGTGCTGCCTCATGTTGCTACTTCATCGATTTCAACGCCGCTTCCGACGCTTCAACCCGTTTGTTGGTTGCCGCAGCTGAATCAAGTTGTGCTTTCATCTCCTCGTGTTCTTGCATGACTTTCGCAAGCAAGGCATCATCCCTAATGACAGATCGACTAGTAGAATCTTCATCGTTCCGTACACCCGAGCCTTGGGCCAATCTCAGCATTTCGACTTCCTTCAAGAGCTTCTCAAACTTCTGCTCCTTAATAACTCCACTTTGCTTCTTCTCGCGCATTGCTTCGTACATACTGTCAAGCCTAGCATTCATAGCATCGTGCAATTCCTTGTTAAGTGCTTCTCTTTCCTTCTTCTCATTCAGTCTTCGTTCTTCTTCTTCCTTCGCCTTTCTCTGTTTCTCCTCCTCTTCCTTTCGTGCCAACTCATTTGCCATCGCCGCATCGTACCATACCTTCATCTTCGCCGCTGTTTCTTCAAGAGCAACCACCCGCTGATTGGTGTTGAACCATCCGCTCCCTTTAGAATATTGACCATTCGTGCCAACCGGATTAACTCCTACCGTCGTTTGAGCAGATGGAGAGGGAGGAGGAGGGGGAGGAGGAGGTGTAGGAAGAGAGGTGGATGGAGCAGGTAGTGTAAGAATTGGAGCCTGTCCAGTAATTGTAGCCGTATTCACATTCAATACTGCAGTCTTGTGTGGACACCATCGTGCAAAGTGGTTCGGATCCTTGCAGTTGTAACAAGTGCGTACATTGGAAGTTGAAGCCATCGTTGCGTCTCCCGAAGAATTGCGAAGCCACTCGTTACGTAGTCTAATCTCTACGATGGTTACTTTGTGAAAGGAAGTGTTTATTCATACAACGAGTGCAGCTGCCACCAGCGTCAGCATAAGCAATTGTCAAAGAACCATGCCAGATTTGCATTCAAGAGAAAACAGAAAGGAAGCAGAAAGGCAGAGAAGATGAGGTAATAAGAAAGGAGAAAGAAAGAGAGAGAGAGAAAAAAGGGGCATGGAAACGAAAAGAAGATTGGGAAGATGAGGCCAGGATAAAAAAGTGTCTCCCGAATGCGACTCGAAAAGCCGGATATCCGGATTTGCTTCCTAGTTTTAAAGGGTGGTGCCTTAGTGTGATTTGGTCTTTTTTTTCTTATCTCCAGTTCCGCGAGTAATACTGATGTGACCGTTAGCAAAATCCTAGCCTAAACTTCGGCTAGAAGAATCTCCCACCGAATGACCAGTCTAGTCCACCCTGATCAATCCGGCTTCATTCCGGGCAGGCAGATGGTGGACAACGTTATGGTCATTTCCCAATCCATTGATTTAATCAAGACTCGAGAATCTAACAGAGTTATTTTACTAATTGACTTCAAAAAAGCCTATGACAGAGTGAATTGGAAGTTCACCCTGAAAGTCTCGAAGAGGCTTGGCATAGGCCCCAATTACAGGCTTTGGGTGGAAAATGTGTACCGTGGTTCTCAAGGGGGAGTCACAGTCAATGAATTCATCGCAAAACCTTGCACAGTTTCTTGCTCCCAAAGATAGGACTGCCCCTTGGCACCCTCCTTGTTCGCCATACAAATGGAAGTGCTGCTGAATATGATTAGAGCTCACCAGGATTACAAGGGCTCGACCGTATCTCCAACCTTGTTGGAACTGAAAGTCTTTGCCCTCGCTGATGACTTTTCAGCAATATCAGAAAACTCAAGCTCATCTCTGAAAGCCTTACATGAATGTATCTTTACCTATCAAAAGGCCTCAGAAATGAGGGTGAACTGTAACAAATTCGTAGCTTTATCCTACGGAAATGTCCCACTCGCCATTGATCTCGGGATCAAGCTATTACCCGCCACAGAATCTGAGAGGTAACTAGGGATTAAAGTTTCCTTTGGAGAGTGTTCGGCATATCAGGCGGTGATAATTGATAATTGAATCAAGTATCCCAAATGGTCGAACAAAAAACACCTTTCATTATTCGGAAAAGCCCTGGTGGCAAACTGCTCCGTACTCTGAACAGTATGGTTCATCTTAGCCATCAGACATATCTCCTCCTCATCCGCCAACTTAATCAGACAACTACTAACCTGGTTCATCTGGAAAGGGGACGCTAACATTCCCTCATGTATCAGTAAGGTAGCCTGGTGGAAAATCACTGAGAAAAAGAAGGATGGGGGGTTGGGTATCCTCGACCCGGAGACACAAAATTCAGCTTTACTAGCAAAATGAACGTTTAGGCTAATGACCTCCTTCGAATCCCAACCTTGGATTCAGTTAGCACAAATTAAACTAGCTAGGGAATGGGACTTCTTTGATCCAGAAGGAGTATGGCACGCCTTGATGTACCCACCGCTACCTTCTTAACCCGGAAAAAACGTACGTACCTTGTATACGAATACAACGTACGGGGTACGTTGTATTCGAATCCAACATACGTACGTTATAGAACGAGTTTTAGGGTACAACTTTTCATAAGTCTGTAGTACCGCCATTATTTTTACTTTTATCTCAAATTTGTTTGGGAATTTTGCCAAGACCCTCTGACAGAAATTGTTTGCATTGCAATGTTGTACAACATACATTTTTTTCAGATTTTTTACTGAAGTTTTTTTTTTTTAATCGAAATTTTAAAAAAATCAGTAAAAAATATTTTCATCCTCGTTTTTATTTTTTTCTTGAATTTTCTCGTGAATTTCGATAAGACCCTCAGGCAAACGTTGTTTGTATTGCATTTTTGTATAACATTTTATTTTTTTTGGATTTTTTTGATTATTTTTTAAAAAACAAAGTTTCAAAAATTTGAATACAACATATGTACGTTGTATTCGAATACAACGTACGTACGTTATATTCGAACGCACGTTCTATTTAGGGAAAAACAAGCGATTTATGAAAACCCGATTTCCATAGGTAATTCGAATAGAACATACGTACGTTTTTTTGGGGTTACGAAGGTAGTGAAGTCTGTGAAATCCCCCACATGGGGACCAATCCTCGAAGTCTGGTCTAGGATACTCCCTTCCTCATTTGTACTGCCTTCGAGTATATCTGAAATCCTGACTGGAAGTTTGTTTGAAAATCCATCCATCTTGAATAACTCAGGCCACCCCTTCTCGGTCTCCATCAACCCTCTGGCACTTTTGCCAGGAAATGGCTACGAAAAGAGGTGTGGAAAGTTGAACATCTGAGGGACATGGCTACTGCAGACTAGAAGCCAGAAGAGTACCTCAGAAGGAAGCTCAGAGCACTCCACAACGTCGACACTCGTTGGCTTCTGCCGATTAACGTCATCCCGGATACCTGGAAGGACAAGCTATGTTCGGCGGCACAAGGTGAAATTGGGTCCTGGTGGAGGGACCTGGACAACCCCAACGGTTTCTACCAAGTTCTGAAAATTAGTGGTAACAACTCGGCGGAGGCCATCGTATGGAGGCAACGGAGCAACCTTCTATATCGCAGGAATGCGACTACGGAACACATCTCACTATTGCGTCATCAGGAAGTGAGAGTCTCACAGACTATCAATAAAGGAGGAAGACAGGTCACAACGCCTCTCAAGGGCGATACCCCATTCGGGGATTGGAAACTAGATGAGGTCAAGGTGGGCTGGATGGAGGATTACCGCAGAGTCCTCTGAGGTCTCAGCTATCCCTCTCCTTAACTACACTTCTCAAACGGGATACAAGCTCGCTTGCAAAGCGTCTTCGTTGCAGATTAAGGTTTGGAACTCTTGGCGCAAGCAGTCCCTTACCTTTCAGTTATCAAATGCGATTTCGACTTGGGTGCAATTCTACATCACACGAATTATGAGTACACGGGAATCAAAGGTCGCGGATTTACAGTGGCTGCAGATGATTGCACAACTGTGTACCCACCGCAGCCTGGTGTGCGAGTAGAGGTATGGATATCCCCACCTCATGCGACGTATGCCCACACAGCTCCCTGGAAGACTCCTCCCACCTCTGGTGGGAATGTGTGGGGGAGATCGGGGCAATAGCCCAAGAAGTCGGATAGCAAATAAATTCAAAATTGTTGGTTTTGGGGTCCTCTGGTTTGCCCGTAGGGATCGTAGATTTTGCGGGATCTCATGGTCAATTCCCAGGATCCGGAACATGTTTAAGTTGTCTGTTAGAAATCTGATTTTGGCGGAATACAGGAAGAAAGTAGGGACTCCCTTGATATATATGACTAAGTCCTTTGTTTTGAAAGCTTGGACCTCATAATACAAGTGGGTTTCACACTCTGTGAGAAGAATTGGGTATTTTTTTCTCGGTACTTGTGGGATGAAATGGATGACTTGGTTCTCCCGCAAGACACTTTGGCAGCATTTCTTTGATATACACTCATGATGTAAGGGACGCTGGACCCGTTTTCCAGCAGGTGCAGCTCCCCACCAATAGAATGGAGTAATTTCCACAAAAAAAAAGTTGTTTGTTTGCAATTCTACATAACTTTTTTTTTTTTTTTTTTTTTTTTTTTGCATTGGGGCTGCCTAGCCCATGTCCAGGGGCCATGCCCGGCCGGTCACCTGGTTGCAAACCGGGAGCGATGTCGGGATCTCTGCACTTGGGATATCTCCCTACCATTTGGAGGCTAACAAGCCTTAGAAGATAGCTTTGTCAACTTAGGTTAATGTGAGTTATTGGAATTAAGAGAATAGAGATTGTTTGAGAGCATAACCAGTTGCTTAGCATTTGAAGGCTAACGAGCCTTAGAAGGTATCTTTGTCAACTTAGGTTTGTGTGAGTTTTTGATCTTAAGAGAATAGGGATTGTTTGAGAGCATAACCAGTTGCTTAAACCAAGCCTCGACGAGCCCTAAAGAATTGCATTCATGTTCCATTGGTATTTATTTATATAAATTCTCTATGTTTCACTTTATTCAAAAGTAAATATGCAATAAAATATCATTATGCTAGGGATAAAAATTTAGATAGTGGATGAATATTTGATGAATTTCAAGAGGGCAGGGGGGGGAGGAGAATATCGAGGGGAGCACTCTGATTTATGATTGACCACTTTGTCATCCTTTTAAGTTAAATTATTCCTCACATCATATATCATTGGCATTTATTTTTTTAATATATATTTTGATGATGTATATGCAAGGAAAATTAGCAATAGCGAGATGACAGAATCCAAATTGCACAATCACATTGAAAGCTAGAAAGTTCCACAATGTCAGCAAGTAGCACTGCACCAATAATACACAAGTGGAGAATCATAAAACTGAAACCGAATGTCAACGAGAGCTTACTCTCGTTTTCACCAACGTAAGAGTTCAGGCCCTTCCCCCTACTTGGCGCTCGCCCAGACTACTCCCACACAGCTATATTTTGCCTAAAAATTGATAATGCAATTGTTGAAGACGACACTGACCGAAAGTACGAGAAGATGTCGCCCAGTACAGACCATCGCCAATACCAGGTATGAACCCTCACGTCATCATCCTCATTTTTATTTATCTCTCCCTCGCCAATCTCCCTTGTCTTTCCTCTGTACACCCGAAGATCAC